GTGCCCTCTCCCAGCTTCTTGTGCACCTGGCAGAGCACGGGAAGCTGAAAAGTCCTTGACGAGTGTAAGCACTGCTCACCAACAACTAAAACATTGGTGTGTTCTCAACATTATTCTCATCCTAAATCCAAAACACAGCACTAGACCAGCCACTAGGAAGAAAATTAACTCTGTCCCAGGTGAAACCAGGACAGGTGGTTAAGGAGATGGCTAAGAACAGAGCAAGAATGCAACCTCTTCTCTCCTCCAAAAACTTTTCAGTTTCTGAGAATGAACAGCTTTGGGAATATCTACCTGCTGCCCCTTTTGATATGATTTGTCTGCCTCCCAGGGCATTCAAAGTCTTCCTATATTTTGTAACTTCATTTCGAGTGGAGGGACTTGAGGAATTCCCACGAGAGGACCATTGCTTGGGACAAACTGGGGCAGCAGTTGAGCCAAATCTGTCCCCTGAGTGAGGACTGCAGGCTGCTCCCAGACCTGGCGCAGAACTCTTCGCAAACGGTGAACAGGCTGCACAAAAGTAACCCAGGGCCTGGCCCCTGAAATGCACGAGGAACGCGGACCCACGGACGCATCTGCTGCTACATTTCTTCAGGTAACTCTTACAGCTCAGATGCCTAGCAGCTAGTGTTAAAACTTCAAGGAGAAATGGGAGAGCCTCTCAAATTGCCATTTGAACTGCTCCAGTTATTTATTGCAAATGCGGTACCAGTGGATAAGCCCAGCTTCCAGAGTTTCCCACGCTCAAAAGGACAGCTAAAAGTGGAGGCTGACCTGGGGATGTTGAAAATATGGCATAACCAGCACCTCTCACTTCAGAAAAGGTGTTGGCTGCCTGCAGGCTTCTGGGTCAGTTGCTATGTGGTTGGCAAGTATTCAGTGTAAGGGTTCCTGGCCTCCTGAGATGCCTGCCAGCCCTGTGTAGGCTGCAGGGACTCGCACCTGCAGAAACCATGGAGCTGAGTGACAGAGGAGCGTGGCTTTGAGGAGAGGCCTTGCTGGCGAGGTAGAAACATCGAATGCTTTGTAGTGGACGGTGCTGCTGTGTGGAGGCTCTGACCACTAAAAGTGTGGGTTTGGATTTTAAATAATGTAGCCTTGCTTTGAATATTCAGTCTTTACTGTTACCTTATCCTTGTACAAGAAGTGGGAGAGTTGACACAGCTGCATGCAACTGCTTCCTCTTCTTGCCGTCCTCTCCAGCCCTCCCCTGCCCAAAGACGCCAGGCGTTACAGAGAACAGACTTCTGAGGCAGGGTCTTCTCTACCCTTTAAATGTGCTTCTGCTGCAAAGCAGAGCCATACTTTGCTGAGCTAAGCATGGGAATGGCTATGTGACACATTGGTTATTTTTTAAAAAGTTGTGGTTACGACTGACTGATACCTGGTTCTTTATGATCTGCACCTTTTCCTCCTTCAGAGTGCATTGAAATATATTTCCATTATGTTGGACTTCTATTTATCTGACTTTAAGTTGGTGCTTTGCATAGCTCAAGGCTTGTAGCTTGTGTTTGATGTGTAATAGCAGACAACTTAAGGTTGTGGTTTGTTCTTCATGTCAGAAAGCAGTTTGTTTCCCTAGTTTTAACTGTGTTACATCCTCTTCAGGGGAGCGTACAACCAGATGGTTTGTTTTCACTGAGCTCTTTCAGAGGGGGAAGAGGCTATGTCTGTCTGTGAGACAAATCAGCTGCGTGTTAAGATCTCAGGAGCATCCATGAAAAGAAATTAATGAACTGTACAGCTGAAAACAGGGACTGTCTGGGATAGACAGTCCTAAGCTGACATAGTTGTCACTTCTTTGCAACTATATCTGGGCCCCCCGTGAGGACAGAGCAGGAGGGGAGCTCCAGGTACATCTTTGCAGTTCCCTGGTGCGCAGCAGCCTCCCCATAAGCAGCCAGGGACCGGCCTCCACGTCGGAGCGGCTGCGTGCGCTAACGTCTCTCTTCTCATCCCCAGGATGGCAAGTATCGGAAAATTGGAGCACACTGGAGCTGCTGCTGTTTGTCTCTCATGCCCCCATGGCTGGAGGGCTCTTCTCCAGGCTGACAACCGGGTAACTCTCCTCCAGCCTCAGCGTTCATTGGGATGAATCTGAGCGTGAGCGGTGCCGTTCCCTAGCTGGAAGGCTGAGGCTAAGGGAAGAGTGGCACACATATTGCATGGTCTTGTGCCAGCTGCCACCGTCAAGGCTGAGTAAAAATTTTAATTTATTTTAATGTAGTTATTGATGCATTTTAATTCCATCAAAGGAAATAACACAAGACAATCTACAAATATTAATTTGCTACTTTTAAATGAATTTGATTCAGCTGTGCTTGGTTTCTCCTTTTTGGGTTTTACTTTGAGACTTACTCCTTGCTTACAGGCACAAGTATTCAAGGATTGTGAACCTTAAAAATTGCAGTCTAAATTCTGCGTTTCATACATGAATATTTAAACAGAGTAATATACTCTGTTCTTTCTGTAAGGCCCCATTTTTAATCATTAATGCCTGTTCTTTTGAGCAAATAAACCCCATATATATGAGACTTGTATGCATTTTAAAAAAAGATAGTTCTCTGGGACAAGATCCAATATGACAATATTCTGTTTATGAATATTTATAGATCCATCAAAATTGGTGAATATTGAATTTGTTGATGAACGTTGTGGAGGATATTTTTTTACTTTTCTTTTGAAAGGGACTGAAAAATTATTTGCAAATTGGGTCAAATTCAACACATAATTCTGGTCAAAAAGCATCTTTTTTCGTTTTTGGTTAAACATGTTCAAACTTTCAAACTTTTTGATTTAAAGCAACTTTTGCATGCATAATTTATCCAAATTACAAAAAAAAAACCCCAAAGTTTTTGACAGTATTGAATAACATGAAAAAACCCAAAATATTTCATATGTGGCGAAGATTTTAAGTGAATAAAAATTCAATTTGGGACTTTTTAAATGTAAGAGTTATGTTGCCTGTTGCGTGTTCGTGCAGAGTACCGATCAATGTGGTTGCACTGGCACTGTTTCCAGGTTGCAATGAAAGCTTTCCATCCAGATGCATCAGTGTTTTGTTAGAACTGTACAGAAAACCATCAGGCTCTTGTCTGAATGTGCATACGTATTGCATCATTGTGCTTAAGAAAACACTATTGCCTCTTGCACTTGGCTTGCGAATGTGGCAGCATTTGCTCTTTCTGTGCCACAAGCGTGGCAGTGTTCTGGTTTTTCTTCTGTGCACCAGGTGTCCTCACTTGGTATACTATACATTTAAAATGAAATTTTGAATGCTGCGTAATTGAAGCCTGTTACTTTTACAGCAATTGATACCAGATGAGGATTTAGGTTTCTGTGTGCACAGTGAACCCTGGCTGCCTTTCCTCCTCCTCTCAGCATGTACTGAGAAACATGCTTGTATTTAAATACGGGTGTGAACGCTGCGTGATCTAAACAGCCCAGAAAGAAAGTCCTGTTGCAACACATATGACATTTCTGAATCAACCATCACACAAAGATATTTTCTTGTCTGCTGCATATTGGGTTTTGACTTGAGAAAGAAAACAATGTATCAGTATTTCTCATGGGATGGAAACACAATTTTCCAGTCATCTCTAGCTGCGAGTGACTGATTCGGAAAGTAAGAGATTAAACAGAAACAAATGGCGGCATAAAGGAGAGAATGACAAAGGCTCTACCAAGACGACAATTTGAGGGAATGCAGAGGTGAGTGATGGAAAATGAGATAGCTTTATGGGCAGGCTACAGGGAGCCTCAAGGCAAAAGTGCGGCCATTGATTCCTGACAGTAACATCAGAAAACTGCAGTCAGGATATGGCTGCCGTGGTGTTGTGGAAACAGGCCTGCGCTCCGCGACCTCGGCTTTATCCCCCAGCTGGCTGGGGGCACAGAGGTGCCTTGGTTGTGAACCTTTCTGCAGTGACAGAACCAGCATGAGTACCTACTGCAGTAGGGTGCTCCTCCTTGAGACCTGAGCAGAAGAGGTTGGGAGTTTGACTGTGGGAATACACAGGTATATTGTTCAGTACAGGGTAGTGCAAGTTTGCCATGCCAAATTGGGGTCATTTATATATGATATCTGGCCATAGGAAAGTATCAGTGATGTTCTTAGCCAAATCCATGTTCAACCAAGAGCTGAACGGGTTTACATCAAAATTCTCCACTGTGAACCATATATGTTTTCATAGGAAAGATTTTGGATAGCATGGAGTTCTGCTTTTTTGTGTGAACTAGAAAACAATGTGTTGGGATGACAGCACTGTCTCAATCTTACCAATGATGCACTGCCCTTTTGCCAAAAAGGAGCTAGCAATTTATAAGATATGGTTTGTTAAAAAGTATATATAGTTGCAGAATAGCATAAGTTATTAGATGCCTCTTTAGTTCATTGTGTCTATGAAAGCCGGAAAAAAACTCACGTGTTTTTGATCTCTTGCAATAGGATGGTTGCCCTTTTTGTTCTACTACAGAAGTGGAGTTACTCTTCAAGAAACTAAAAACATGCAAAGGTTAGGAATCATTTCTTTGTCAAATAGTTGAAGTCTAGATCCTGAATTTTCCTATATGTGCTGTTACCTTGATTTTTCACAAAGAGTTGTAATGTGTGCATGGTTGCTCTTGCAAAACCTTTTTTTCATCTTCTGCAGGTAAGTCTGTGAAGTGACAGTAAGCGGTCTGTAGCTATTTTTGTGCTAGCTAGCTGGGCATGAATAGTGAGCAGCTGGAGATGCCTGTAAAATGGTATCAGAGATCCTGGATTTTTAAAACTTGTTTGTAAACAGTGGTGTGTTTTTATTGTCAAAACCCTTTTTTCTTTACTTTCTTCAGTACAAGAATGATACTTGACATGGGGTCTTGTTTAGAACTTCTGTTTTCAAAGGAAACCTCTGTTTTACTACGTGTTCTCTTTGAAGGGATGTGCACAACAGTTTGTGACTCCATGCCATTTTCTTGGCCTTTACGTTCTGCAATGCTGATTCCTTCTGCTAAAGATGGCTCAGACATGGGTGGTTCTGGCTGCACTCCTTTTCTTGCTAATCAATCTGGCTGAAGGGCCAGGTAAGCGAGAAAGATCCAAACCAACATGCAGCACTCTTTGGTACTCTGTATTTCCAACTCGCCAGTACACTGAAACTTTGCAGTTTATCAGGGGAAATTTTGCTTATTGTTTAATGTGAATGCACAGAGTGATGTCAGCTCAGCTGGCAAAATAATCGTGTCCCTTGCAGAGTGGAACAGGATGATATATCTGATAGGAATCCAAAACAGATCACCTGAAGACCCATCTCCTGTTCAACTGGGACAATATCAAGAGAGCGATGATTTCTGGTAGAAAAGGGATCTACATATGCCCTGTACTAAATATGCCTCGGGAACTACTGCACCAAATGCCCTTGGGTTTTAACCTTGTTACAGGTGTATGTTCCACTGCTATCCCTGGTTTTACTTGCACTTTAACCAAGGTACCTAATTCAATAACATAAGTTTTTTTAAAGAATAGTTTCCTTAAGGGTGAAACTTGCCCTCCTCATCAGTTTTTCAAAGCCCATATAAAGTGATAGAAATCTGTTGCCTAAAAAAAGATGGAGGACTTGCAGCTCACTAGCATGCATCACATACCTACACAGGGTCCACAGCAGAAAGGCAACATCTCCACTGCATTTCCAGACTTCAAAGAGTGACAGCAGGAAGCTGGACCTGGAAATGGAATACTACTTCTATGTGTCTGTACAGAGCAATGTGTCCTCAAGACTGCCAGTACAGCAAGGAAGTAGAAATTTTTAAGTGTGATGAAGCCAAGAGTTTCCTATGCTTTGACGATGGCTGTAGCATCATTTTTAATGTCTTTTTCTTCTTATGTAGCTTACAACATGGTGAGTGTGGAGGCTGGTCATGAGGCTGTGTTGAATTGTCCGTACGTCTCCAAGGTGTGTTTGCTAACGGTGATGTGGAAGATGAAATGCAGCATGTGCTGCTTGTTGGCCTATAGAAGTGATCACAATGAGACAAGAAGTTAAGCTGCAGTGAGAGAATGATGTGGAAATATTCACCTGACAGCGACCCTGCTCTTTGTATTTACCCTGTGAACCTCGGTGATGAGGGAAATTACACCTGTGAAATTGCCAGCAGTGCAGGGAATATTCTTTTTTCTCTTCTCTGTGACAGGTAAGACACACCTTGTGTTTTTTTTTTCTTTTCTTTTGTGTGTGTGTGTGTGTGTGTATAGAGATAAAATTATTTGATTTGGTGGTAAAAGACCGAATTCATTTTGGATGCATACTGAAATTGAAAACGCAGAGGTAAGCTGATTTAGTCTGGCTATTTGGAGAGGGGAAAAAGGCATGAGGAGTTACACAATAGGACTTGACTGTTCTGTGGAGAAATAATCTGAGGGTTTTGTGTTTGTTTTTTTAACTACTTCTGACTCATGAATAGGAGAGGTTTGAAAATGCACAAATCCAACAGCCTGCATAGTTTCTGAGATAGATGCTGAACCAAAATTCACAATGAGGTCAATGTGTGTTTTGTCTGGGTAAGAGCTGAATAGGAAGGAAGCAAAAGTTTCAGGACACTATCTGGAAATATTTCACTCTTCCAGAAACACTGAAGGCTGTCTATAAGATTGCATCACTAAAATAAAAATTAGTCTATTTTCAACATAGGCAGGAACAAAAGAATATTAGAAAACATAATGAATACATCAAGTCATCTTTTTCAGATAGTTAGGTAAACTATCTCCAGGTTTCCATAAATTAAAAAAAAAAACCAAAACCCCTACGAGAAGATTTTGTATACTGGCCATATTAGTTAAGCCTTCTGAATATAACTAAAAATTATGGGAAATGAATTTTGGAACTCTATAATTGCTATTATTGATTTTTGTCACTTGATTTTTTTTTTTTTTTTGTTCTTCCCTGCAGGGTCTTGCTTTTCTGATAATGGCTTAGGTATTGTCTGAGCCTTTGCCTGTTTTGTCAAATGCAGAATACGAGTTGTTGGACTTTAGGCAGAAGAGTTTTGTCCGATTCCTCCTTTATTTTCCCTGCTATAAAATTCTTGATTCTACATACCTAATCTCCTAAATATTTTAGCTGGAGCTTCAGCAAGCTGTGTTTTCTTCAGTATGTGCACTGACATACTTATAAATCTTAATTTAATCCACTCCTCTCTGTCATCCCATCTTCTGTTACTACTGTAGTTACCTTTTGGAAAACATGAGGAAGCAGTACTTTTAGATGCAGCTAGCTAGTTTTGGAGATACTCACCTTGGACTTTTTGATGTATTTTTTTCCCTAAAGATCATCGGTGCTAATATTCCAAATTATTTTAAAATCTCTTGAATGGCCATGCAAACTAAAAAATACCACCTATTTTTCAGTTTCTCAGTTGGTGATTTTATACTGAACTAGAAATAATGGTTGTGGACTTTTTTTTTTTCTTCTTCTGTAGTCCCTTCTACAGTGACTCTGACCTGTGACAAGAGCAGGGTGTCTGTCTGTCAAGCACCTGCTGGAAAGCCAGCTGCTGATATCTCCTGGACCCCTGCAAGTAATCACAGCACCGAGGAAGAAGTCAGTCACTCCAATGGGACAGCGACCAGAGTGAGCTACATAGGCTGGGTCAACAGCACGCTTTCCGCCATCACCTGCCTGGTTACCCACCCAGCTAGAAACCAGACCTGTCATGTAAATAACAGTATTCTGTAATTTCTCTTCATTGTGCTCTTGGGCTTCTCTGTGCTGTTCTATGCAGCTGTTCCCACTGAATGCCAGGGCTCTGCAGACTGTTGAATGGGGTGACAGGCCAAAGTTCTAGTGCATGTTGATGGAGAAATGAACAATTTTGTGTTAGTCAGTTGAAACCAAATGTTTTGTAGCATTGTATGGGCTGCCGTTCTTCATGAACTGCTCCAGCATGCGTTCTTTGCACAAGGTGCAGTCCTTCAGGAACAGACTGCTCCAGCCTGGGTTCCCTTGTGGGACCACAAGTCCTGCCAGCAAACCTGCTTCTGTGTAGGCTTCTCTCCATGAGGTCACAGGCCCTGCCAGGAGCCTGCTCCAGCATGGGCTTCCCACGGGGTCACAGCCTCCTTTGGGCATCCACCTGCTCCGGCGTGGGGTCCTCCAGGGGCTGCAGGCGGATATCTGCTCCACCATTAACCTCCATGGGCTGCAGGGGGACAGCCTGCTTCACCATGGTCTTCACCAGGGGCTGCAGGGGAATCTCTGCTCTGGACCTGGAGCACCTCCTCCCCCTCCTTCTTCCCTGACCTTGGTGTCTGCAGGGCTGTTCCTCTCACATATTCTCACTCCTCTCTTCTGGCTGCTGCTCTGCAGCAGGTTTTCCCCCCTTCTTAAATATGTTATGCCAGAGGCGCTACCACCGTCACTGACGGGCTCAGTCTTGGCCAGTAGCAGGTCTGTCTTGGAGCCAGCTGGCGTTGGCTCTATCGGACATGAGGGAAGCTTCTGGCATCTTCTCACGGAAGCCACACCTGCAGTCCCCCTGCTACCAAAACCTTGCCACTCAAACCCAATATGCTGCTTCAGTGACCTTTTTAATCACTGATGACAGAAAAGTTGCTTTCAACAGCCACCACGATACAGCTTACTAATTTTTTATGTGAAGCTTTGAACCCACGGAGTTGAATTTTGTCCAGCTTCCCACAGTGGTGATGGTCTGGAGAAAAATTCCTTGGAGAATGTCTGTCTGTGACTTTCAGGTGACCTTTCCCAGGGCCAAAGGTAGTAAAGGGTAAAATTCAGCTTCCTTGCTGGCTGTGCTGGACCTGTTAGAAGTCTATGCCAGTAGGAAAAAGGGATAAAGAAAACAATAATGTGTTCGAGACCAGGACGTAAAAAATAAGAATTTAACCTATGAGTGTAACTGTATACGAAGAAAGTCTTTCAACAGCTGAGGGCAGCTAAAGGAGAACTCTAGAGACACAACGGCTGTGCACCTTGCCCCATCAAACCATTTTAATTTCCTGACATCCTACTTTCAGCTTTCTGGTTACGTAAATTGGCACATGGGTCGGCAGTACCATTTTGCACTAAGTGGGCTTTTTTTTGTCTGTGCTTTGAAGTTTTTTGTGTATTCTTCACTAAAACATGTAATTTCATTGCAACATGTCTGCTCTGACGAAAGTCCCATTTATTTCTACGTGTCCTTGGAGGGGGGAATGAGAAACAGTGTATCTGGGAGGGTGTCTAGTGTTTGGAAGGCCCTATCTTCATGTATGTTCAGAGTATCTGAGTAATTGTTTAAGCACCAGATCAAGAGTGGAGTAGTGCGTTTCCTGCCTAAGAATACTATAAATTACATTTACAATGCCAGTGGTTAAGCTGAATTTTAAATCTCCCAAAAGTTAATGTTTTCAAATTTCTGCTTCACTGAGTAATCTTAACTCTGACCTTTTGCTTAAGAATGTGTATTGCCCTTGATGGCAGAAACCTGTCTCATTAAAGATCAGATGAAAAGAGATGGGCATTTTACAATGAGGGAAAAGGGTGCACTTCCTTATGCTGTATTAAAGGCAAACACAGCTATGAAACTTTTATTTCTTAAGTTGCAGTTCAAACATTCAGAAGCTAGGAAAGAGCAACGATACATTTGCCACCACAACTTTTACTTCCTCTCTAATTCCAGTGTGTCGTGATACATACTTAACAGCATGATAATACGGTGCTCGTCCCTCAGGGCTTCTGCCTCATTTAATGCACATTGAAAGAGCAATTATTTCATATTTTGTTTTCTGCTCACGGTTAAATTAATGGCCGTGTGCCTTGTTTGTTGCAAACTAGTCAAACAGTGCTCTGAAGTTAGAATGATTAATTTCCTGATACGCACTTCCATGGCATTCAGGACAATTTGACTGACGGGAGTGGGAGTTGCAGAGATCAAAGTCAAAAGCTTCCAGCAATTTTAGGTGCCTAAATTGGATTGCCTGTGGCCTGCCCATTTTTTTTTGTGGTTTTTTGTTTGGTTTTGTTTTTTTTCCAGAGAAGTTAGCATTGTTCGTTATCATCTATTTTGCTGAAAATACCGACATTTCAAAATCTGTTTTCAATCACATTAAGAAAAAAAATTCAAATGGCTGCCCTGTTTAGGCTTTATGAAGGCGGTTGTTGCATCTCTCTGTCAGTTCAGGTTTCACCCTCTGTGCCCTACCCCTTTGCTCACAGAGCTGTGAGAAATAACTTCCCAGTTTCTTTGCAAAAGTAATGTTGCCTACCAGGTTTCTTCTGGTCTTGTTTTTTGTTTGGACTCTATAGGGATGATGGTTCCATAAAATTCTACCATGCAATATAATGGTATATGTTTTTCTTTATATTGCAGACTGTGAACTTCAGACCATCATGTGAGAAAACAGCTGCGGTCAAGCCTCCTGTCTTATCAGAGAGTATCTATCAGAATTACAATCCAAGAATGATATATATGAACTATTAACAGTGTAGGCACAGTACCAGCTCAGCTACTAATGATACCCAATTACTTGAACTTGTACTTCAGCTAACAAATGTCAGACCTTGCCGCATAGCAGGCCAGCAGAACGCTCAAAACTGCCCCACAAAAGCCTTTGTCTTTCCTGAAGGCAGTGGGAGAGAGCAACCTGTTTTAGTAAATTCTTTCTTTCTTTCTCTAAATATCAGTACAGCTCTTGAAGCGTTTGAAACTTTTTAAAGACTGATTTGGGGAAATACCTATCTGAATTTTGTTTGAAAATGGACTCTGAGATATGTGCTGTCTGTCCTCAAATCAATAATTGACATATTTCTGTGCCAATCTAACAGACTGCTGTTGAAAAAGTAGCACTTTTTACAACTGGATTCTCTTTGCAATTTTGTGTTGGAAACGAGGAAGTGACACAGGGGACTCAAAACATAGGAGGTCAAAGAAATGCATCTAGCAGAAATAAGATTTTTTTTTTTTTTTTTCCTGAGTATATAGTTATATGTGGCAGATGACAATCTTGTATTTGTCATCTTTGTTTACTTTTTAATTTTTTAATCTATTTCTTTTTTAATTAAGCTTTGTTTACATTGATAATGGAAGAAAAAAGCCAATTTGAAATTGTACTTGATAGGGAAATGAGAGAGCGCAATGGGAAATTTTCTAAGATTCATTTTAAAGCAAATGTGCGAATGTGTAAATATTTACCTAAATGATTTCTGAGGCTATTTGGGTAAATGTTTATTGACCATTTTCTTAGAAGCTGAGATCACAGCATGGTTTTACTGAGAACAGAAGTGTGAAGTAAGTTGTGAAAAATGCAGGTGGTGTGCTTGTTTAAAACAAACAAAAAACCCCTAACCAAATAATTTATTTCTTCTCGTCCTCGTGCCCCCAGGCTGACACCCCCCCCCCCCCCCCAACTGGTTGTTAATTTCAGTTTTCATTCATCAGATTTGCCAAACCTTCCAAACCCTAATGCAGCAGTAAGTATACTCAAATGTGTGTTTTGAATGGCCTTTGCTGGCTCGTCGCTGGAGGAAGTCATCTCTGCTCCTTCAGTGTTCTTAGGCGTGCGGATCTCCTGGTGCCTTTTAATTGCACTTCACTTTATCACTTCTAAATTGACATGGGTGGGCACCTACTGACATCGCTCCAGCCTTTCATTTTAGTCAGAAAGGCATGAAGAGCAACTCTCTGCATTAATGAAAAGTGCCCACAGAAGGTAGTCCATTCATGCCTGGTAACCGAGGAAAGCCTTTCTTGTGGTGTTAAATGTCAATGATGGGTCACTATCTCAGAGCTGTGTACAGCTTCTTCATGTCACCTGTGGGGAAGGAGACGCACCTTTTCATGTATACAGCCTCTGGGAGAAATAAGTGACAGATAGCTCAGAATTAGTGAAAACAGGTTTTCAGTGATGGAAAAGGAAAAGCGTTTTGTAGCTCTAGTGAAGTCTGCGGCAGTGCCTTAGTCTAAGGAAGCGGTTTCCCAGTTCTGCTGGCCTATGGCTGGTAGTGCATCATGGGCATGATCCAGCACCCTTTTTTGTCCTCCCTGTCAGCCTGGACCTTTCACAGTCATGGTGTTGTCAAGGAGTTGGTTGTGATGGGAAGCCTCTGAAATAGGGGAAAGATGTCTTGTTGCTTAGCCCAGTTGGGTCAAAACCTGGCTTCCTAGGCTGGTGTTGCTCAGTGTGATAAGTGAGCATGGATCGTTCTTGTGGACAACCACAGCAATTTAGGTCTGTCTTCTTGTTCAGAAGCTGGACCACTGCAGCCAGACCTACGGATGTTGAAATGAAGAGTTAGGCTGTGGAGCAGTCTGCTTTTGGCAATCATGGTGCACGTGTGTTGTGATTTTTAGGGTGCAAAGCAAGAACTTTTCATAATTCCTTTGCACTAAATGAAATGTTGAAGAGTAAGAGCTAATGCAGACAGCCAGGGAGCTGATAGCATGGCGGGGAAAACGCTCTGGAGAAACATCACTCTGATAATTAGCCCTGGCTGAAAAGCATGGTTTCTGTGCTCATGATTTTATTTTCCCCTTTAATTTGCATTTGGTGGAATTGGTCTAGTCACCTGCAGCGTGTCAGCATTTCCTGGAAATTCTGAGTAGACTTTGTTTGACGCACTGAAACAAGGTGCTCTGGCAATGAGATAGGTCCCTTCATGCTGCAGGTATTCAGTGAAATGGGCTCTCCTGGTGGTTCCACAGCTCTTAACAGCCATGTGAAGTATGGTTTGCCTGATTTCTTATTTCTGGGATGGCCCAAGAGCCAGTAGTGCTGCAGCCTCTCAGAAAATTAGCTTACAGCATTGTAGCCTAGTCAGGCTTTGATCATCACCTGTTTTCTGCCAACAAAAAGCTTGAGTTATCAACCCGCAGCTCAGGCAAACCCGTTGCAGGCACTAGAAGGCCTCAGCTGCCTAATTGTTGTATCTTCCTTCTGCAATAAAATTGGCCCTCATGCTTTTCAAGCTCGTTGTGTATGATTAATGAAACTTATTAGGCCAAAGAGAGTAATGTGGCTAGTGGGGGTGATTGTAAGAAAGGCTGGGACATGAATAATGCTTCTAGGTAGAGCATAATAATTGAACAATCTCACTTAATTTTCTGCTCATCTTTTGTATGTGTTATAATACTGGCACAAGCGGTAGGTAGTTTCAGATACAGAGTTTGCTTCTTTTTTAGCTGCCTGCAATTCACTGGAACTGTTGACCGCAGGAGTACGTATTACACCCAAGCTGCCAAGAGGTGATAAATATTCTAGTGGGCCTGTCAGCTCTGCTAATAGCATTGTCTTTGAAAGGAGGAAGATGGGATTAGCCATGCCATAGGCCCATGTGTATGCTCAGAAAGGAAGCCCCTGCTGCTTGGGGTAAGAGGGATTTGTGAGTTAAATGATTTTATATGGAAGCAGAGAAAGGAAAAAGGGAGAGACTGGAGAAGGGGGTTGACAGAGGAGAACAATGAGTAAGAGTGAGCGTGATGTTGGGTCATTGCAGCTTAATACTGTGATTCATTGCTTTTTCCATTCACACTGCCTGTCACTGGGTACCTTAACTGCTGATCGTGACTGGTGAAGGACAGGCTTTTGTCATATGGGAAGCTCTACACTCTCCTCTCAGGGTGGAAAACTAGGCACGGGCTTTGATGGTTTCCTCTATGCCTGCCATCACCAAAGGGGGTGTGTGTCGTACTTCTTGGTCTTAGCTGCACACCAAAGGGCTAAAACCCATGAGACACACACCTCAGGGGGCCGAGGGAAAGGCCTGGCACTGCTTCAGTGGCGCACCAGGGGTTTAACTCCTCCTGCATCAGAAACGCTTGAGCTGGGCCTGCAGCCATGTCCACCTCTGCCAACTCCCTCCCTCCCAGCAGCAGGGACCAGTGTGCAGCAGTGCCCAGCTGCTGGGCCAGTGCAGCAGGGGGGGTGCCGGAGCCCTCCCCATGCTGGCCACAGGGGCTGGTGGCTCCTAGCTCCTGCCCGAGCTGTGCTCTCCTGGGCTGACTGCTGAGGAAGTGCCTGTTTCCCTCCTGGATTTAATTTTGCAGTTGATCTATTGAGTGTTTTGAGAATGAGAGGAAAATCACTTAAATATCTTTTGTCCTGCTGATTTTGTAACAGGATAGGCATCTTGGTGTAATCCAAAGAATAACCCAAATTGTGTATTTTGTCTCTTGTAGGAATTTGGTCTGGAAAATAACCAACTTGAGGATGTTTTTATGAGTGTATTTACCATGCTTTTTTCCTTAATTGCAAGAACACTTTTGGTGATCTTATTATTTGCACTGAAAGCAAATTTAAGCAAGGCAAATGTTTTGGACTGCAAACTTCCACATACTCTGTGGCCTTGTCAAAATGGCTAGGAAAATGCTGACTGTTTATTGTGTAATCATTGAGAGAGAGCTACTACAAGGTGATGGGTGTTGGAGTGAGCTGTTTGTACATTCTGACACACACAAAAAAAAAAAGGCTGGGAGTGTGAGCCCCTGCTCCAGGGCTGGTGCAACAGCTCTGCCTTGCCACTGCTCTTTCAGACTGACTATTTAGCCAAATGTACAGCTGATTGAATGTCACTTGTGCTTTTTAGCACTAGATGTGATTACAGATGAAAAGGCTCCTGTTTATTGTATGGACTTTCACTCATAATGTTTATAGGGCACTCTTGGCAATAGTCATGATGTCTGCTTTCTGATTAACCTATGAACAATTGATCTTCTGGTAATAGCAGGTGTTGCGATGCTGCCGAACAGTTCTTTATTCTCCTGTTCACTGAATATGGAAAAAAAAAATAGTTGACAAAAAGTTATGTTTAGAACCCCATAAATTGGAATGTAACTTCAGATTATGAACAAGATTTGTTTAAAATCCCAATTTTCAATACCAGGATTGAAATGAAGAAGGCAAATCATTTTCCTGCAGACTTTGGAAATGGGGCAAATGTCCTAAGGGTATTTGCCAGTTCAGTGAAAAGCTGTTTCCTAAGTTGGTATTTCTTGCAGCTGTGTTTTCTGGTCTAGCCTTCTTGGCATCACATTTGTCAGCTTTTCTTCTCTGATGAGAAAATAATACTTTCCTTGGTTCTCCTCTAATAACTGCAACACCTGTGGAATATTGCCCTGCTGGTTTTGATGTCTTTGTGACTTGGTCTTTCTGCCTTTGTGAAGTCTGTAATGTTAATTTGTCCTCAGTTACTTGGCTTGGTGTCCACAATCTGCACACATCTGTCACGTGCTGGGGGCAGTGAAGAGCTCATGATTTAACCAAGTGGGACTTCTACTACCTTTCCTATCACTTCTCTGTCCTGGAATAGTTTGTGGTTTTGCTCTTAGTGGTGCCTCTTTAAGCAATTGCCGACTTTTCTTTTCTCTTTATTTCTTTAAAGTTGTCTCCCCAATCCTCTCATGCACTAGTTTTCTCAGTTTATTGATTTTTATCTTCTCTAAGTGTTTTATTATCTAGTTCTCTTTCCTTCTCTTTTTGGCATCAA